CCCGCCAGCCCACGTTACCTGTGGGGGGGGGGGGATCCAAGGTTGTGGTAGAGGCCGAAGTGTGGAGGGTGGGAACGAGGCGTGTGTGTATATGTGTGTGTGTGTGTTGGGGGGGAGTTGCCTGCACTTACCTGGAAGCAGTGGGGCTCCCCCAGGAGGCTAGGGTGCAGTGGCCAGACCCGGACGTCCCGCTCGGCGCCCAGGTCCAGCTCCGAGAGTGTGGCCAGCGATTCTCTAGAGCCCAGAGCACTGGGGGGTCTGGAGAGGAGGCCTGTTAGCAAGCGATCATTCCTCCCTCTTCCCCCTCCCACCACACCCGCCACAGCCTGGAAGGTAAAGGAAGGCCAGAATGGTCCTGAACCTAAATTGGATCCTGTCTCTTCCAGTCTGTAAGCCCCAACACGGTGCCTCATTGCTTTTAGTATAAACCTGACTTCTCATAGTGGTCTGCATGACCTCCTATAGTCCAGCCCTCGTCACCTTTTGACCTCATCTCCTTTCACTTAATCCCTCACTTTCTGAGCTCCAGTCACCCTGACCCTTGTTCTTGTCACTTTTTTCGGCCTCTTGGTCTAGTTAACTTCCATCCATCCTTCAGACCTCAGCTCAAGGGTCCCTTCCCTGACCCTCCTAGACCAGGGCATTGATTTAGCTCCCATTTTAGAGTTATCGTGTCAGACTCTGCCCCCACCTTCAACCTAGTTGGCTCCATGCTAGGGTCTTTCAGCAGCCCCACTGTCACCTGAGATGGAGCAGAACACAGAGGAGGCTACAGGGAGTGTTTGATGAAGGTCGGAATGATAGGCAGGAGGAAGGGAAGGGGTCAATGTAGAGCCCCAGCCCCTCCAGCCCCTCAGAGACACTTACCCATCCCGGGCAGCATTGGCTCCCAGCTCTGACCTGACCTTTTTCTTCTCTTTCAGCCTCTTGAGTAACCCCTGAGAGGAGGAGGATGTCAACTGGGCAGAACCCTGTGCTCCTTCCCTCCCAGGCTGTCCCAGAGGATCTGCTGGTCTTGACCAAGCTCAGGCTGTATTAACAGGAATAATAAGGGCAGCCAACAGCTCCCATTTCTAAAGCATCAATCATATTTCCTGAATTCTCTATTGTCTTCTCAAAAGCAGCCCTGAGAGAAAGGTTCTCTCATTAGCTCCAGCTGGCAGACAGGGATGCTGAGGTCCAGAGACCATCAGCAACCTGCCCCGGATCACCCAGTAGGAATGGCCTTTCAGCTCTGAGGTCTGGGAGTCTTTGCTCTTTCCCCCATCCCACCCTCCACTGGCTGCCTTACCCGAACGTTGTGGACCTGGTTGGGTCCAGCAGCCTCTGGCTCAGTCTTCCCAGGGATCCGATCTGTGGGAGGTCAGAGGCGGGAGGTTGGGGGTCGGGATCATTTTAGATTCTGCCCCATTTCGAGAGACTCCCAAATGCCCCAACCCTCTCCATCCAGCTTACCTGGATCCCTGAGGTTCCCCATGGCCACTTGGATGCTGCCCTCAGAGCTAGCACTTCCCATCCGGGGCCGGCGAGGACCCTGTTCTCTCACAGGAGTGGCAGTCAGAAAGGGGTGGCAGGCAGACAGAGGGACAGGCAGACATCTTTCCATTATCCTCCTTCCCACCCAGCCTCTGAACTGTCCTCCTCCCTTTCCCTCCTTCCCTCCCCTTGCCCATGTCCCCTCTCTCACCTCCTCCTCGCCTCCAAGCAGCACCAGCCTCCCATCGAGTAGGGTGAAGCCCCCAATGTCCCAGACAGGTACATCAGGTGTAGGGGCCTCAGGGATCTGTGTGGCAGGGGGCTCCGTCTCTGTCTCTGGCTCTAGGAAGAGGAGGAGGCTCTGGGAAACCTAAGAGCCCTTTTCTCAACAGCAATGTTCATTGGGGTTTCCCTCCTAAGTGTCCCCCACTCCCAGCAGCCATGTCAGGCTGTATGACCTTGGGCAAATCTTCAACTGTCTCTGGGCCCCAACCCCACTAACCATGGGTAATGGACACAGCCCACCTACTATGTACCCAATACTGTGTTTACCACTTCACATGCCTTCTCTCCTTCAATCCCCCAAAATCCATTCAAAGGGCTATTATAACTGAGGCCCAGAGTGCTTGAGTGACTTGTCAAGGGTCACACAGTTTGTGAGTGGTTGATCCTGGCTTCAGACACCAACGTTTTTCTCTTAACCAAGACAGTGGGTAGGTCCAAGAGATTATAAATCAGGACAGGAGGCTTGGTTCCTTACATAAATAGCTTATCTCAGGTGGAAAGTATTCAAAGTTTGAGAAAGAAACAGAGAAAGTTCATGGTAGGGGGAGGTCTCTTTCTTGGGGAAGGGGAAGTAGTGGTCAATGGGTCAGGGAAGGCCTCCCAGAGAGTCTGTGCTAACTTTTGCACAGCAGGTTGGATTCAGACAAGCAGAGATGAAAGAAAAGGTGGCCAGAGCAATTTGAGCAAAGGCTGGGAAGGGCAAGGCCCAGGTAAATAAAGAGAAAGGAAAGGAGGGCTGGAGGAATTGGAGGCTGGAGGGGAAGATCCAGGAAGAGATTGGTACAGGGCCTTGGGAGCCAGTTGCAGGAACTGGGTTTTATCTTGGGGGCTGAGGGGAGCCATGGGAAGTGTTTGAGCAGGTAAGGAGTAGGTCTGCTTGTTGGAGAGCTCTCTCTGGATCCTATGGAGTGAGCAATATCTGACACCCTGGAGGGGCTGGAGGGATGCCTCTGCAAAATGAGTTTATGAATGGTGAGAATTAAATGAGTTTCCAGGAAATAGGGCTGAATCAACCCTCCCAGATTACCTGTCTGTTACCTTGTTTTACCACTAGGGGCAATAAGTGATAACTCCCACTTAATGGATCACTTAAAATATGCTGGATCCTGGGCTAGTGCTACGCTCCTGAGCTCTAATCCTCATGATACTCATTGCCCTCTAGATCCCTCTGCATGACACTTAGCACCATCTGTTTTTTTCTTGTTGACTCGTTTGCTGTCTGTCACCCCCACTACACTGTGAGCTCCGCGGGGTGGGGAGTATCATTTCTCTTGTTCACTGCTGTGTCCTCAGTGCCTAAAATCAAGTCCTGGCACGCAGTAAATGCTCAACAAACCTCTGCTTGAATGAATGAATGAACATGAACAAACGAAATGATACACCCTTCAAGGTGGGAATCATTATTCTCATTTAACTGAAGGGGAAGCTGAAGCTCAAGGAAGTGAAGGCACTAAGACATGGAGGCTAGAAAAAAAACCAGGAGAGTGGGAGGCGGCTCAGATGGATGTTTAGGTAGAAGAGGATGATCCTGGACCACTGGACACGAGGAGAGACCCGGTGGAGTCAAGGACCATTTGGCATCTGGACAGTACCACTGTGGGTCTATTCTTTGCCCCTTCCTCAGGCTGTACCACCTGCCCACAGGTCCCTGGCAACTCCCCTCACCCCTCTTTAGGTGGAAAGAGGGAACTGGGTAGCCGGGCCCCAGGCACTTCCTGCTGGGCTTTTGCACTCCCCACAACTTCCTGTGTCTGTAAGGCTGATGCTTTGGTGGCAGACACGACCCAAGCATCCGGCCTCCCAGCTCGGCCCAAGCTTGGGGTGGGGGTGCCATGTACCTGGGGCCTGTGGCTCCAGATCCTGCTCCAGCGATGGGTTCTTCTGCCTCCCCCAGAGGGTCTTGGATAGCCGGAGGCGACTGGTCTTTGACTCCTTGGGGGGTGCAGAGAGGACTCGACGGAATAATGAGCGAGGGGCAGGCTGGCTGCTGACTATGGGCTCCTGGTGGCTCAGTGCCCTTCCCCAGCCGGCAAGGCGGCCCCAGCGGAACCCTCTGGTCCCCTTCTCCCCACTGGCCCCTGTGTGCCAGCGGTAGGAAGTCAGCAGAGAGGGGGCCGCGGGCTGAGTTTGGGAGTCTGGGCTCAGCGACGGTGGGTCCATAGCAGGGGTTCTCCTGGGGAATGAGAGGGTGACAGTTCTGCCCAGTGTCTGCCTACAAACTGCCCTCATCTCGGCCCCCTCCCCACTCTCAGCTCTGCCCCCAGGGAACCTCCTGGGGGCCACACACACTCCCTTTCTTACCTTGATTTCCTGACCAGCCCCTGAATCAGCAGCCGTCTGCACCCTGCCTGGCTTCCTCCTGCTGAACCCGACTCCACGTGACCCTGTCTGTCCCACCCCACCCCACAACCAAGCTGGGACGGCATACTGGGGACAGGATGCAGGGAGGGGTGTGGAGGAGAGGTGGCACAGCAGGGTTCTAGCGAGGACCCAGAATCCCTCACTGATCAGGAGGCAGCACATGCCCCTCCTCTGAGCCTCAATTGAATTCTCTGCAAAATGAGTTCATGCTGAACAAATGCTGGTGAGAATATGGAGCACCTGGAACTCTCATCCATTGCTGGCTGGAGTCTGGACAGATTTACCCATGTTGGAAAACCATTTGGCATGAGCTATTAAAACCATTAGCTGGGGCTCCTGTGACTCAGCAGTTCCACTGCTAGCTGGATACCCAATAAGATATGCTCACCGACATTGTTCATAATAGCTTCAAACTGTAAGCGACCCAAGTGTCCATTGATGGTTGAATAAATAAATTGCAGTCTCTTCACACAGTGGAATACCATACAGCGATGAGAATGAACAAACTATGGAATGATTGAGCTTGGAAGAATCACAAACAATGCTGAGGGAAAAAAAAACCCACTAAGAGTATACACTATGTGATTCCATTTATGTAAATGGTCCGTCCTTTTTTTTTTTTTTGGTGGTGCTGGCCAACACGGGGAGCCGAACCCTTGACCTTGGTGTTATAACACTGTGCTCTAACCAACTGAGATAACTGTTCAGCCTCCTTCTTCTCCTGTGCATTTATGTAAAGTTCCAAAGCAGGAAAACAATGTGTAACTTCCGTCCTTTTTTTTTTTTGGTGGTGCTGGCCAACACGGGGAGCCGAACCCTTGACCTTGGTGTTATAACACTGTGCTCTAACCAACTGAGATAACTGGTCAGCCTCCTTCTTCTCCTGTGCATTTATGTAAAGTTCCAAAGCAGGAAAACAATGTGTAACAAGCCAGGATATTGGTTTCCTTTGGAGAGGCTAGTCACTGGGGAGGGGGACCAATGGGGGGTTTCTGGGAGCTGGCCTTTTTTTTTTTTTTATGAAGTGAAATTCACACAACACAAATTTAAAATGTTCTATTTCTTGACGGGGGGTTTCTGGGAGCTGGCCTTTTTTTTTTTTTTTTTATGAAGTGAAATTCACACAACACAAATTTAAAATGTTCTATTTCTTGAGCTGGGTGCTGGTTACATGGGTGTGTTCTGTTGTGAAGATTCATCGAGCTGTACATTTTGGTGCACTTTCCTGTATCTCTGTTATGCCTCAATAAATATTGACTTCAAAAAGGAGGTGGGTAAATGCTGTTCTGAGGAATAAGTGAGTTAGCATAACTCTGGCCCAGGAGCTGGACAGGAGTGGGTTCGGGTGCCAGCTGGCCCCTCTCTCACTGTGTAACCTCAAGCAAGTCACTTCCTTTCTCTGATCCCCGGTTTTCTTTTTTGTACAAAAAGGTAATATCAGTTTCAAAACGTTCATAATGTGAGCCTTTGTTTATTCAACGAATGTCCTCTGAGTGCCTACTATGTGCTAGGTGCTGGAGAACCCACAGGGAACTAAACAAACTTGGTTCCTGCCCTCCTGGAGCTCACAGTCCAGTGAGGAAGACAGATCGTGAATGCAAACATGAGATGTTCCTAGCTGGTGAGGAGGATGTGGAAGGAAATAGACTGGAGTCGAGGCTGAGCAGAAAGTTCTTTGAGCTGGAAAAATCAGAGAGGGCTTTCCTGGGGAGGGGACATTTTTCAACCATTTGCATTAGTTGAGCAGCCCTCAACTAATGACTAATGAGAAATAGTGTATAAATACCCCAGCTCCCTCACCCCTTGGGTGGGATGACTGAGGTATGTATCCTACACATTCTCCCAGAGCTCCCCAGTAGGACTGAGCCTGGTTACCCAAGTGGAAACTTGCTTGATAACATATCTTTTTTGCTGTCTTCCCTTCTCTGCATGGTTTCCTCATTCCCCAGCTGACATGTCCTGGGATCACCTCCCAATAAACTATTTGTACAGGAATTCTTGTCACAGGGTCTGCTTCTGGGCACACCCAAACTACAACAACGTGTGCAAACACAGATGATGCATACACAGAGATTTTCTTTCCTTGGTTTCTTTATTGGAGGTCTGTGGCTGGCAGGATCATTGAGGATGGCTCCCCCCTGGATTTCCGAGAGGCTCTCCTTGCAGTTCTTGGCTACACAGTCTAGAAAAGACAAGGGAATATGAGGCTTGGGGGTTGGACATTGCTGGGTCTGCCTTCCTAGTGGTGGGACCCTGGATGGGGGAGGGGACAGCGGCCCAAAGTGAGGGAGTGGGTACAAAGCTGCCTGCAGGACAAGGTAGGCAGATCAATCGCTTAATTAAATGGACTGGCACTATGCAGTTAGCACGAGATTATCCAGGTGTGATTATAGAGGTATCTTAGTGATCGAGGTCAGGGGCTGGGATGAGATCATCAGGCAGAGGTTGTGCTAGCTGGGCCTAAATTGCTCCAGCATAAGGGTTGTCATCAGGGATTAGGGAATCAGGGGCTGAACAAACATCCTCAGGGCTCAGATTGTCTGGGCAGAGGATTGCAACACAGGATGGTTAGGGGCTGGACAGAGGTTGTGCAGGCAAAGGGTTTTTTGGCTAGGTTAGTGTGTGTGACAGAGGGCCTTTGGGTAGGGAGCAGGGACAATGCCGAGGTTGGTGGGGCTGGGCTGAGGTTGTGCAGGCATAGGTCAGGGGACAGGGGCAGAATGACTGAACGCCGGGCCTAGGTTGCCTTAATAAAAGGGCTGCAAGGAAGATGAAGGGCCTGGCTGGGGCTGTGCAGGAACAGGGGTTACAGACAGGAGTCAGTGACCCTCCGAGGTTGGGCGAGCAGGCAGGCAGGGGTCAGGGGCCGCGGGCCGTGGGAGTGTAGGCGGCTCAGACTCACCGCGGCGAAGTGCGGCCAGGTGCGCAGCAGGCCGAAGAGCGCGTCGCCGGGGCAGTCGGTGCGCACGAGCTGGCGGTGGCCGAGCAGCGCGTAGTCGGGCCGCAGGAGGCCGGCGCGCAGCGCGCAACTCGGGAGCAGGTCGCGCACCGTGCGCAGCGCGGCCTCGGTGGGAAGCGATGCCGTGTAGTTGCCCACGAAGGCCACGCCGAAGCCTCGGGAGTTGTGTCCGCGCGTGTGCGCGCCCACCCGGTGCCAGCCGCGGCCCTCGTACACGTAACCGTCCGAGCCCACCACGAAACTGCAGACGGTAAGAGGAAGGAGCCACCACCCGGCGTAAGGGAAACCCCGACCCTTAAATGGGCCCCTCCCCCAGATTCCGTCCCTGTGCCAGGGGCCTTTCGACCCCAAGTCCCGCGCGGTCGCGCTGCCTCTCTCCTGTCCAGCTCCATCCTTGTACCACACCAGCTGCCACCCCAGAATCCGTCCTGTCTCTTTGGATCCGCCCCTCAGTACTGCCCACGCCCCTTGCTGCCCACCCTCCCCCCTCGCCTTTTCTCAAGTCCAGCTGTTGCCCAATTCAGAACCCTTTTCTATCTTAGGTCATCACTGCCCCACCCCCGATCCATTCCCTACCACACGCCCCGTCCCTCTCCCAGGTCCTACCTCCTGTCCTAGTTCTCTCCCCTGACATAAGAGACCCAGTGTTTAGCTATGTCTGGTCCCTGTGCAGGCCCCACCCCTAGCCTGGGCCACGCCCCCAGCACAAACTCTTCCTCGGTCTTCCGGGCTCTCACTCAAGAGGCGTCCCCTGCCTTAGGCCCCGCCCACTCAGGCTGTACCCATTGTCGTCGGCCCCGCCCCCGGCTCGGCCGGGTCCCACCCACCTGTAGCCGATGTCGTCCCAGCCGCGCGTGTCCTGGTGGAAGCGCTGCATAGAGCGCATGTTGGCTGCGCAGTGCGCGAAGCTCGTGCAGGGTGATGCGGGCAAGTACGTGTGATGCACATACAAGAACCCGAGAGGCAGCTGCAGCGGCGTCGGGCGGCCCCGGTATGGCGCCGCTCCCCAGCGGCAGCGCGGGTGGATGGCCGGGCATCCTGTGGGCAAGCGGGTCCAAGCTTGGGATCAGCAAGCGTTTCTATGCCTGCCGCCTGCACCTCCCATTAAAGCAGATATAGGGGCCATCCCTCCAGCCTCCTCCCAGATTTGGGAAGAGTTCAGTTTCACCCCACACTGGCCCCCGTTGGGATCTAATTTAACTAAATCTAACAGTATCCCAGGCTTCTTGGTATTTCCACTATGTCTCCCATCACCTTCAGGATAAAGCCCAAGAATTTTAGTTTAGACTTCGGGGTCCTTTGTAACACAGGGCCCAGCGCTCTCTCCAGCTGGCCCTGGCCTGAGCCCTGTGAAAGGGCAGCCACACAGAGAAAATAAGAATCTGGGCCCCCATTTACTGAGCTTCAATTGTGTGCTTCATCTTCCTAAACCATCCAGTAAATCCAAGAGGTAGCAATGATTTATTTGGCTTTACTGAAGAACGTGAGGTTCAGAGAAGAGAAGCAACCTGCCTAAAGGTGCACAGGAGTAACTGGTTGAACTTCATGTGAACCTCTGTGCCTTTACATATATGCTGAGCCCACCTAGAATGCCCTCTTCCTCACTTTTTCTTTTTTAAATCAGATGAACTCCTATTCATTCTTCAAGGCCCAACTCTAGCATTTCATCATCTGTGCAGCTATCTCAGTCCCTGGCCAGAGCCCTTATTGTCTCCTCTGGACTCCCCTAGTCCTAAATCCACCAAACCACCTGGGGCTGGCAATGTCTATATCTGTGAGAGGAAGGGTCACAGGAGATGGGGGATGTTCTCACCCAGGAAGGCCTCAGTGAGCTCCTTGG